GTCTCCTCCAGGGCAGGCGGGAATTGAACTCATGCGGAAGTGGCTTTAGCTTCTCAGTGCAGTGCTTTAACCCGCTGCGCCACCAGGGAGGGCCCCCTCTATGATTTTTAACAACATGAAGGACCATGAAGGCATCATGCTAAGTGTAAAATCAAACACAGAGAGACGGATGGTGTTTGAATTCACTTATATGTATCATATAAAACCGAATTCATAGACAAAGAGACCAGTTTTGTGTTTATCAGAGGCATAGAGTGAGGGGAAGGGAAACTGGAGGAAGGTGGTCCCAAAGTACAAACTTGCTGCTGTAAGATAACTAAGTCCTAGGGATACAAGGCACAATGCGATGACTAAGGCTAGCACTGCTATATGCTGGAAAGGGCAGTTGTTAAGAGACTAAATCCCAAGAGTTCTCAACATAAGGAAATTTTTTATTTCCTCTTTCCTTTATTACTTTTCCTTTTATTTTGTCAATATGAGACTGCATGTTAGCTTCAGTTTCATGTAAATTTGTTCATTAAACAACCCTGAAGTATATCATTAAAAAAAAAAGAAAGAAACCACTTCTGTTTTCTCCAGACACTAAGGATATTGGTAATCACAAGTCTAGTTATTTGCCACCCCCAGCTACATATACGTAAGCCTTTTGGTAATCATTTCACAATATGTGCAAAGCAAACCATTGTGCTATGTGCCTTATACAGTGGTTATGTCAATTATTTCCAAATAAAACTGGGGGGGAAGAGAAAGTCTCCCATAAATATTAGAAGTTATTTTTTTCCCTTTATGATTCTGCCTACTGACTATTTATACATGTCTGATCTCCTCAACTATGCTGTGCTCATGTTTATTCACTCAACAAATATTTGTTGGACATCTCTTATGTGCCAGGCACCATGCCTGCAATGAGAACTCTAAGAAGCTGCTCTCTTAACAATTTCCTATATATTATACAAATGTTAGCTACAGCCATCATGTACTTCAACTGGAAAAAGACCAGTGCCTGCCCTTGTGGATGATGACGTGTGAAAACAGGGGGAGACAGACCACAAACATGATTAAAAAATAAAAGTAAATCTCCTAGTGGGTGATAAGGGTGGTGCAATAAACCAAGATAGGAGAATATATGCTAGGTGGAAGATTGCCAATAATGACATTTCTGGCATATCAAAACAATGCTCCCTATGGAAGCACCAGAGTGTCTTAGTCTTTGTTTTTATTATTTTTAAAGATTTATTTATTTATGCATAGAAGAACTGGTGTACAAGCCAGAGGTGCGGAGGGTGAGAGGATTTACCAGAGGCAGAGGGAGGAGTAGAAGAGGCAGATGCACTGAAATACACTGCTGAGGAATGCAGTGGGTGAGACAGGAGAGGTCTGCTGTGCCATGTGGGTCACCTCCCTGCAGGGGACTGAACTCATGCTGCAGTGGCTGCAGATAGTTTCATAGTGCTGCACTCTAACCCCTTGAGCCTCCAAGGAGGGCCCCACAGTGACTTAGTCTTATCTCTAATAAAAACACTGAATATATGTTGTTGTGAATGGAGAATAAGACACTAGCAATTACATAATCATTTTAAAAACCAAAAACAGAACAATGCCTCTTAAATTGACTTTTACTAACCAGCCTCCCATTAGTTTACTTCTTTTTACATACAAGAGGTAGGGTGTCAGCAAGTGAAAGGATTCACCAGAGACAGAGGGGGGAGAAGAGCAGGTAGATCCACTGAAATCTGAAATACACTGCTGAGGGGAGCAGCGGGTGGAACAGGAAAGGTTTGCTGCGCCATGTGGGTCAGCTCTCTTACCAGGGATAGAAATCATGCTGCAGTGACTGAAGATAGCTTCATAGTGCTGAGACTTAACCCCTTGTGCCACCAGGGAGGGCCCTGCCCAGTATTTTAAACCCAGATCCAGCATTTACTTTTCACAGGTCATTTAGATATGAAGGCCAGTTGGCTCTCACAGTTTTCTGCCATTTAGAAGCTTTATGTGTCCTGATAAACACTTTGTCAGACAGGACCTTTTCTTTTATTTCAAGTTGAAATGACAAAACTATTTTAAATATGGACGTGTATAATTACATCATATTTATAAATTGTTTAGCAATAAACCTTATATTTTAACATATAACAAAGTTAACCAAACTTTTAACCAATAAATTATTTCACACAGACATATGCTTATAAGTCTATTTAATTATTCAAACTGTGCTAGAGAATACATATTTTGGGATACATACTTGTTTCGGTTCAGTTACAACATAGATGATTTCCAATGGGTATTGTTTCACTATCCCAATTATAAAGTTTACCAAAAAAAGAAAAATCTGTATCACTGGCTAACAAATCTGTGTTATGTCAAAATATATTTTTCATTATACACTTAATTATGTCATTTTCAACTGACAGAGTTCACAAATATTAGTGATCACTTATAAATTATTTTTATATTTTCAAAACATGTTTTCTAATTATTATATTTAATGAAGACATAGAAGTGGCCTTCGTTTACATAAAAATTTTCTCCATACAGTAATACTTTTTGAAAACAGAATGAAATATGCAAAAGCTCTGGCTCTCCAAGGCAAAGCCAAAAACAGAAAAGGAAAAACAAAGAACTTTTTGGTGTGGGGTCACAGAAATATTAAGGCAAAGATGGGAAGAAACAAAATTTTCTCCCCACTTTACTATGCCTCCTAATTTTGACTTTTTGAATTTTATTTTTTTCCCCTTATCCTCTTGTAAATGCTAGAAGTTGTATTCTTAAAGACTTATACTCTTCAGGCAAGAATAAGTGACAATTTTCAATATTTATGAAGTAAACATAGTTGAGAAGTAATTACCTCCATTATTGCAGGGGTTAATGTTTTACATTATCAAAAATATCATGGTTTCAAACTGACTGGTAGTAAAAACATGAACTTTTTCGATGTAAATGGAGAGCCTCTAAAGGTAAGCAGCTGTGCAGTTAGCAATGACTTATTTAGTCAGCATAGCAGGAATCCGGGGTCAGGGCTGCATCCACCATTATGGTCTTACCACCATAGGAAAATGGGATCTTATGTGTGTAGCACTTGTTTCTGTCATAAGTATAACAGGTCTCGGCTTCTTCTTCACAGATATCGCTCTGAGAGGCAGTAAATATCTGATTATCCAGCTTAATTTCTGTAGGGTCACATTTTTTACAGCTGAATAAACAAAGACACATATTAGACAATGCCTATATAATGCTCCCTCAGATTCTGAGTAACTACACATTTCTATCCAAAGTCTGACCTGACCTCAGCTACTCTACCTTAAAAAGTAGTTTATGGAATTTTTCAACCTTTTAAATGAAAATTAGTTGAAAGCAATAAAATTAATGGTAATTCAGTTGTTTTGTCTATACCATACAGCAACTTCTACTCTGTTAGGTTTATTCTTAACTGTATACTAGAATTAAATCAGTTATTTATAGTTGTCAGAAACGAATAATTTAAAAAAAAATATTTGATGTTAGATTCTATAGTTTCCAAAGAACATCTGCATATCAAAGCATCAGAAATCTAATTACTGAACTATTAAGACATATTAGCAATATGTAGTAGCGGCAATAATTTCCTCTTTAATTAAATCTATAGCTAAGTCTTATCTTTGATAAAGTCTTATAAATTTATGATACCTAATAATTAATATAAGAATTCATGTATTCAAATTATACTGCTAAATGTTTGTGTGCTGATGTACAAAAGCATTCTTACTAACAAGTGTAGGTTACTAACTTCCTATTTATGTTAATATGAAGGAAAAATCTCTTACAAGTCCGACAAATGGTACACAAATTGGGTTCTCACTGGTGAAGTAGGATCAGAGATATTCTCCCTGCTGTTCAGAGGAACACTAGGGGGAAAAAAAAGAAAGCAAAACAAAATAATTAACTAACAAATACTGTACTTTTTGCTAATAGATACATTGCTAGGACAATACTTACAGTTTATTTAGGACATTTAGAACACTTGGCACTCTACAGGCAATATGCTATATTTTAAATATTTCCCATTTAAAATAAATTTCACAGCAACAGTTTGCTTGCTTGGAAAATCCCTAGCCCCCCAGATAATAGGGTAACTTAACAAGACATAAAAGGCATCTCATGCAATGCCTCTAATTCTCCAACCTCATCTCTGACTTTATTATCCTTCATGCAAAATGCAAGCAACTGCTTGCAATTCCATGACTATACCATGCTTTTCTCATCATCAGCATTAACTGATGATAAGGGGAACTTACAATGCCTGCTACTATGCTAAACGCTTTACATGATGATCTCATATAATCTTCACAGCAACTCTGCTTCTTTTTCCTGGAATAACCTGCCTCACCTCTCCAACCTGTCACTTCCCACATACATTTACTGGGTTAACTCCCATTCACCAGCTAACAGCAAGCATCCACCTTCCTCATAGGCCTTTCCTGCCTCCCAGTCACACACCCTTCTACCATCAGGATTAGGCTGGGGGTCTGTAACATTCTATGCCTATTCCTGACATAACATTTACAAACACTATAGTGTAACTACCCCCATTGATTATTTAAAGTACCCAACTATGAAGTAAATTCTTTGATAGTATGGACTCTGTTTTACGGTAATTATTGTCACCCCAGCTCCAATCCTCAATCATATTCAGTGGCATGGATGTTTGCTGAATGAAATGAATGAATGTATCTATTCTTTATTAGACTGTAAAGACTTCAGTAATAAAGGTTCAAAAATTGCATGTATGCATGTACATACGTAATTATCTCTATCTCAGAGTTTAGGAAACAGACTTGAATTAGCTAAGTACCTTGCCCAGCATCACATAGTTAGTAGTGATATAGTTGGACTAATGCCACAATGACAGGGTAATAGTAGCAGGACTTTCAGAAATGAGATCAGGAAAGCATCAACACAGACCAGCCAAAGGGCATGAAGTACAAAGGACATGATTTCAGTAAAAATAGAACCTCATAAAGAGATTCACATCATAAAAGAAAAAGAATTAAAGAATCATGGAGTGCTTTTCCAAATGAATGAGGGGGTCAAAGCCCTAGATATCACCCCTTCAAACCACTTGCTTCTCCAATTGCTCTCTTGTGAATAGGAAGCTATGTGGTCTCAGTGGTGGAAGGGAGTCTGAGTGTTTGAAAGGACCTGCTAGAACAAGCGATATCGAAGTCAAGACATTCATATTAAGAGGACATCACAAGGCTAAGAGGAGCTGGAATTAGTTTTTCAGGCAGAGGAGCTAGAATATGCAAAAACAAGGGGAAGAAAGCACTGTGAGTGTGAGGAAATTAACAGCACTGCAGAGTGGCTGCATTTGCAAGCACAAAGGTGGGGGCGGAGAGTGGCAATGCAATGTTAAGCATTGTAAGGGTAGGCTGAGGAAATTTTAGTTTCTCCTAATGAAAATGTTAGGGGAACCACCAAAAAACATTTCAAGGATAGTGATAACTGGCACATCAGTTAGACAAATTAAAAAATATCAAATTTTTTTGAAAATGTGCTGGGAACCACAATCTCTAAAAGGAATATATTTTCTCAATTAATCTTATAACTCTAGGAGATCCATACTATTTCTCCCTGGCTTGAAGGTGAGAAAGCTGAAATTCATACTGGATAAGTAACTTGCACAAAAAAACACATAGCTATAAAGTAAACCAGCCAGAACCTGAAACTAATTCTTAAACATGATTATACTTCTTCCATAGGTTAAATAGAATTGAGTGCCATGTTCTCTTTCAATAAGTACTTAACAGGAAAACAGTTCAAGATAGGAGTGGTTCACAAGAAGGACTAATAACTGATTGAATCCTAGAGGATTCTCATTTCTTACACATGATTTGCATTTTTGATATTGAGTAAGACTCTCATAGCTTATAACTCAGAACTATGTATGATACATAAAGAACATTTGAACTGCAATGTACAATTGAAGATTGAATCAAATTGGTTTATCTGACAAGGCCTCCCTGTATAAAGACATTTGAGTACAATGTCTATACTCTTCAGTTCTACATGTTCCAAAATAAGGTTTTCACTGTTATCTTGAGTTTGAGTTGATGAGGGCAATTCAAGTTCTGATTCAAACTGAAATAACTGTTTATATAAGCAGAGTATTTTAATGACTAAGTCAGAAACCTTCAGTTATAATTTGATATGGCTGGCTGGTTTTAGACTGTCTGGAAATCTTAGTTCCTGCCCGCAATGTCTACATAACTGGTTCAAGTCCATTAACTAGATTCAACTCTGTAAGGAACCACACATCAAAAATAGGGTAAAGATAAAAGAACTACACCTAAAAATTACTAATATCAGAAATATGCATCTGTTTACAACATGAGAAAAAATAAATATGAAATGCCACATACATAATTCTGATGTTTCTCTCCACAATATCTCCAGAAGGACTTTCTGGAGAGGGGACAATCCTGGAAGTAACCCGGACGCACTGACATTTGTTGTCAGCAAGAACAATACTTCCATCGTCATCTTGGGCTTAAAAGATAAAACATTAAGGAGAAAATTCAACCGGGTGTATTTATATAGACTGAGTTATCATTTTCCTGTAGAAAAACAAAATTGTTATGATGAATTCATTTCTACTTTCTCCATTTGTTGTTCTCTTTCTTAATCTAAAATAGCTCAATGATCAGGCCTCCCTGGTGGCGCAAGGGCTTAACTCTCAGCTCTATGAAGGGGCAGCCACTGAAACATGAGTTTGATCCCCAGCCTGGGAGCTGACCCACAACACACAGCAGACCACTCCGGTCTTGCCCACTGCTCTCCTCAGCAGTGTATTTCAGTAGATCTTCCTGTCCTGCTCCTCACTCTGTCTCTGGTGAATCTTGTCACCCCCACACACACACACCTCTGGCCTGTACCCCAGTTCTTATATGCATACATAAATTAATCTTTAAAAATAAATAAATAAAGTAGCTCAGTGGAATTTCACATTATAGAGAAGGAAATTCAACCTACTCTGAAAGGAAGTACACTCTATGTAAATGTATACTGAATGAATGCTACTTTTCATTTGATGCTTTCAATAAAGGCACATCTTCTTTGAATGATGTGTATTGTAAATATCAGTACCAAGTGCCAAAATGAGAGCAAAAACAAAAATCTAGACTGAATTTTTTCCAAACCAAACCATTCATTCAAAAGTAAACAAAAAGAAGTATGAACCTTTATAAACCAAATTTGAAGTGTCACATCCTTCCTGAACTCCCATTTATACTTTTTTGCCCACTGCTTAGAGTTAAGAACGTTTGTCCTATGACAATCTCATTTCATAACACTTTTAAGTATTCTTCACTACAATTTTTCTAAAGTTATTTTTGTTTCTTTTCCCTAATATCAAATTATCACAGCAAATTGATTCAAAGAAGGTGTTATAATATTTCCTGTTAAGTATTATTTTAAAAGAACATAAGTGTAAATTGATAAAAATTTGAAAAAATACTTTCAGAAATATTACG